ATATTTATTTAATAAAATTAATCATATTTTAAATTATATTTATTAATAAATCAATAATTTTCATATATTTATAAATATTATAAAAAATTTAGTTTTTTAATTAATAAATAATATAAATATTTACTATTTTAAATTTTTTAAATAAATTTAATTTATTAGTAATAATATAATTAAACTATTAATAAAGTATATAAAGTATTAAATATATAATATTTTTATTATATATATTATTTAATAATTAATATTTTTCTTATTTATTAATATTAATATTTCATTTAATAGTTAAAGTTTAAAAATATTTAGTATTTTTAATTAATTAAATTAATAAATTTAATTAAATTAATTATTATTAAATTTATTAGAAGTTTAGATTTTTAATATATATAATATATTTAGTAAAAAAGAGAGAATTAATATATTTGAATTTAGTTAATTTAGTAATATTAATTAAATATTAAATAAAATTTTATAATTTTTTAAAAATTTAAGAAATTATTATATAATCTAAATTTCTAAATATAATAAAATAATAAATAAATATTTTAATATTTAGTTAAATACTAAAAAAATAAATAAATAAATATAGAGATAAATAATAATAATAGGCTATTAGATAATAGGTTATTCTATAGCTATTTATCCATAGAATAGTACTTATTAATTAGCTAATAGGTGCCTAAGCAAAATAATAAAGGAGGTGGCGGCGGCGGCGCATCCTATATCCGATACACTGGCCAAACGCCGGCTCCAACAAAAAACCACTTTACGCGGTTGAAGAAGCGCGACGCGTCCCAGCGAAGTCTTTTTTTGCGCTTTCACACATCCCGCCGAGCAGCAATTCTATCAGCTTGAACGGATCCTCCACATCACCACACTCACAGTAGCAAACGCACTTTGGCAGATCTTAATTAAATTGACGTCTTCGATAACATTGCCGCGATAATGGATCGAAGAACACCTTATGCCCTAAGCGTGCTGCAACCGCAAGCAGACGGACCAGATGACACCAGAAGCCATATTCAAGCTCAGCTACGAGAATTTATTCTTGCCTTCCAGATAGATAATACTTTCGTCTACCGGTAAGGATTTTTAGTTCGCTAGTCTTAAGGAAACTTATACTAATATCCATTTTCTCGGAAAAGAGATCAAATAAGACAAAATGTCCTCGTTAACCGGTATCTTTGCGATGTCGATGTCGCACACTTAATCGCATATAACGAAGAGCTGGCCCACAGGCTCACAACGAATCCGCAAGACACCATTCCCTTAGTATGTTCACTTTGGCGTTGTTCTATCACTGCTGAATTACGCTTACAAAGCTCGTTTCTCTAGTTTGAAGCTGCCCTAAAACAATGCACACAAAAGATTGTCTATCCCTCCCAGGGGGGTATCGAACTACCAGAGCACCAACTCCTTCTCCATTCGAGCGTATCTCTGATTTCGATCCGAGATCTCAATGCTTCAAACGTGTCAAGCCTGGTTCGCATACCTGGAATAGTTATTGGTGCATCAACGATCTCATCCAAAGCCACTGTTGTCCACATTCAATGCCGGCATTGCCAGGAGCCCGATAACATTATAGTGGAAGGTGGATTCTCAGGTCTGACCTTGCCTCGTACATGCAAACGGATGAGGCAACCGAACGAAGACAAATGTCCGATTGACCCCTACTTCATCGTACACGAGAAGTGCCAGTTTGTGGACCAACAAATTATCAAACTCCAAGAAGCCCCAGACCAGGTTCCGGTGGGAGAGCTACCACGGCATATCTTAATTTCGGCAGATAGATACCTTGCCAATCGAGTGGTTCCTGGTACACGGTGTACGGTCATGGGTGTTTTCTCGATTTACCAAGCAAAAGGAGGCAAGAAATCCAACGATTCAGCACCTGCTATACGAAATCCGTATCTTCGAGCAGTCGGTATCACGAGTGACGTTGATCAGACTGCCAAGGGGGCCGGAGTATTTACTGAGGAGGAAGAGCAAGAGTTTCTGGAGATGAGCAGACGGCCTGATTTATATGAAGTATTTACCGATTGTATTGCACCGTCAATTTACGGGAATCGAGATATCAAAAAGGCGATCGCATGTCTGCTCATGGGTGGTTCAAAAAAGATACTCCCCGATGGTATGAAGCTACGTGGTGATATAAATGTTCTCCTCCTTGGTGACCCAGGTACGGCCAAATCACAGCTGTTGAAGTTCGTCGAGAGAGTGTCGCCAATTGCCATTTACACATCCGGCAAAGGATCCTCAGCCGCTGGTCTTACTGCATCGGTACAGCGTGATGCGACCACTCGTGAGTTTTATCTAGAAGGTGGTGCGATGGTGCTCGCTGATGGAGGCGTTGTTTGCATTGATGAGTTCGATAAGATGAGGGATGAAGATAGAGTTGCGATACACGAAGCGATGGAGCAGCAGACAATATCCATTGCCAAAGCAGGAATCACGACCATCTTGAACGCGAGGACATCAGTCCTGGCTGCAGCGAACCCCGTGTTCGGCCGATATGACGACATGAAGACAGCTGGGGAGAACATTGACTTCCAGACTACCATCCTCTCTCGATTTGATATGATTTTCATTGTGCGTGACGCACACGAGAGAGGGCGAGACCAGACCATGGCCAAACATATTATTAGCATCCACCAGGGAGGGCGAGGGATTGAGGAGCAAGCCGAGGCAGAGATACCTATTGAAAAGATGAAGAGGTATATCAGTTACTGTAAATCGTAAGTGTAACTCCTTCCCCCTTCTCATCCCACCATCTGATGCATGCTGGGGTTTCACAGCGCTCTTAATGATCGACTCAGTAACTAACCATGATCACAAACGACAGCCGTTGTGCTCCAAGGCTCTCTCCAGAAGCCTCGGAGAAACTCTCGTCACACTTCGTCTCCATCCGTAAAAGGGTGCATCAAGCTGAGCTTGACGCTAATGCAAGGTCGTCTATACCAATCACAGTCCGTCAGCTTGAGGCTGTGATACGTATCACCGAATCCCTAGCCAAATTGTCGCTTTCTCCAGTAGCGACGGAGGAGCACGTCGACGAAGCCGTACGATTGTTCCTGGCCTCGACCATGGACGCCGCTGTACATGGAGACGGCCAGGCAAGCAAGGAACTATCGGCAGAGGTAAGCAAGATCGAAGACGAACTCAAGAGACGATTGCCTATTGGATGGACTACAAGCCTGGCTACCCTGCGGCGCGAATTTGTGGATGGCCGTAATTATAACGAACAGGCATTAAATCGAGCCTTATTGGTTCTGCAGAGAAGAGACAGTATACAGTTCAGAGCAGGGGGTGGTCAGATCTATAGAAGCGGGCCTTAGAGAGAGCGACCGACACTGCAACCACCCCCCTGTCCTACATGCAACGCTTTTGACGACTCTTTTTGCACGAAACTACCGTTTTTAATACATATGAAGGCCCCTCGCCCGATTGCTGCAGTACTCTTATACCCTGATACTTTGTGCATCCGCCGTACGCAGCCGCCCTCGCCACTTTCTCTGGGGTACGGACTTTGCTATGTATGCCGCTTGCCTCTCGGATGGCGTCTGCACCCAGTCCTTGGTTTGTCGCTACAGCCTGCAGGACGGGGTCATCACCGGCAAGCACTGGCGCCTCTTCAATAGGCTATGTAGGAAATCTCTGCTTTACGTGATTACGATAGGCGTTCAGATAATTTGAATGTGGACAAGATGGCGTTTATATCTATCACAATAAATAATACATCTCCATTATTGATTGCCCAGGCGGTTCTATCGTGGATCCCGCAATGATGCCAGTTTCTCCCAACACAACAGAAAATCTCTCAGAGCGACGACGAGTTCAGACATCCGCGAGTAAGTTAACTGTGTAGTTAGTTGCAGGGTATGAATAACAGGGAATGCTAAGTCCGACGTATTCACCCAGGCTTGGCTCTGCTACTCCGTAACAACTCCGTCCTGCGCATCGGGTTTCAAATGCTCCTAAGCCTTCAAGGCCCAAGGCGCAAACCGGGAACCAAGTGCTTTGTTTGCCTGACCCAAACGAACAGAGCCGTTAGCCAGTTAGGAGCTAGAAAATAAAAGACAGGGAAAGAAAAAGAAAAGGCAGCGAGTCGCTGAGCTCCAACTCCGGACCGCGAATCATCGAGCTGGAGGACAGCGAAGTCGCTGCGTGAGCAGTTGGGTCTGTGGTAAAAAAGTGAGAAAAGAACGAAAAAAAGAACCAACGATCAAAGTGCATCAGTCAGATTTTCCCCCGCTCACTGGTTTTCCGTCATTTTGTTGGCTGCTGGCTGCTGGCTGCATGCTGGCGGGTTGCTCTCTGGTCATGCAGGCATCGGCTACGTGGTTCGCTTTGCATGAGGGAAGTATCCCTGGTGACATCCCAATTTCGCGGGACGATCTGAACCCGAAAACCCGCAGCGGCAGATAACACGATGGATGTACCGCGTATATGTATAATTGTACGCCGTATATACCCCCAGGCATATAAGACGAAACCGGACGGAAATGCGAATCTGGGGCAGCCTGGAATAATATCAAAATATAAAAATATCAGCCTGGACAACTATAGCGGGTGGGCCAAAGTGCTCCGCCTGTACGGAGTAGTTATTGAATCGTGTCGTTATTCCCGGAAAGCAGCAAACTATTCACGCCGAAAAGCATGGCGGAACAAGGATCCCTTTGTTGGAAACTGGATAACTATTAATAACTTGGCCCTGTTATCAACTGATGAGAACACGGAGTAGTTTGCTTCACTCCGGTCTCTTCTTGTCTCTGGATGCCTCTCCCCGTCGGTCGAAGGATGGGGACCGTCGTAGCTCTCGACCGTCCGTGTCTCTGGGGAGGTGGGCAGCGAAGCTGGGTCGACCCCATCCAAGATGTACCATTATGCACCTAAAAAATGGGGTACGTCGAATGGAAGAGGGCCGCTGCGCGAGGAGAATTTGGCCTTATGACCAAAGGTTGGAAGGATTTACGATGTAGCCCAGCAAGCTAAAGCTCAACCTCGACATCAACCTCGGCCTCAGAAAGGAAAAATAAACCATGAAGGCCAGAGCAAGAGGCAGTTAGAAGAAAAAGAAAGGCGTACTGCAACTCTTAGGTTGTGAAGTTTAACCTAGTCGGGCCATGCAAGGGTTCAAACTGGCGCAAATGTCCCATTGTCCATAAATCACTCGGTTGGCGTCTCTCCAGGTCCATGGTCGAGGAGGGGGGAGGAGTAGTGAAAGGAAGAGGAGCAGAAGTTGGTCCAGGCAGTCTAGCTTGCCTCGGGTGGCACATTCCGGTGCCTTCTTTTTTTTTTTGTATATATAGAGGATCTCTTCTGTTTAAAGGCGCTAGAGCGCCCTCTCTGGCCAAATATTTCCCTCTCGACCAGACCCCCATCACCTGTCGCACCCTCCATCATAATAGTAATATATAAATAATAATCAGATATGCCCGAGATGCCTCTCCCAGACCCGGAGCCAGACTCGATAGTGGTTGAGAAGACGGCAGATGGCGTCACTACCATCGGAATCAATAGACCCAGTAGGAAGAACGCCATCAATCCGCCAACCGCCACCAAATTACGAGCAGCCTTTCTAGACTTTGAAAAGGACTCGAGCCAGAAAATATGCGTTTTCCACGGTATTGGCGGCACATTTTGCTCCGGCTTTGATCTCAGCGAGCTCAGAAAATGGGACAAACCGATGGAGAGCAAGGAGAACACGGCCTCCAAACCCGACAACAGTGCCAGTCACAATAATGGTGGCAATGGCAGCAGCAACAGCATCACGCGCACACACTTTAAGCCTGTGAAGGGCAGAAACGAAGCACCGCTAGGGCCGGGACGGATGCAGATCGAGAAGCCCGTCATTTGCGCTATCTCCGGCCATGCTGTTGCTGGAGGCATGGAACTAAGTTTGCTAGCTGACATCCGGGTGGTCGAAGAGGACGCTATCTTTGGAATATTCAGTCGACGCTTTGGCGTACCCTTGCTGGACGGTGGTACGGTCCGACTTCAAGAAATCATTGGTCTCGGCAGAGCACTGGATATCCTTCTCACAGGTCGGCCGGTAGGCGCGACTGAGGCTCTGCAAATAGGACTGGCCGCCAAAGTGGTGCCGAAGGGAAACGCCTTTCATGAAGCCATGAAGATGGCTCGTGCCCTGGCAGCAGTGCCCCAGGAGTGTTTGAATGCGGACCGGAAGGCATGTTATCATGCAGCGTATAACTCTCCTTCGTTTGAGGACGCCATGTCGTATGAGTTCGAGGAGGCCGTCAAGGTCAGCGACCTGGCTATCAACAAGGCCATGAATTTTAATAAACGAGAGAAAGCGAGGCTGTGAGGAATGACGTTTATCATTCTTTTTTTTTCTTTCACTCCTGATGACTGATGATGATTTCTGATTGCCGGTGGTTTTGATATTCAGCGGGCGTGACATGCGACCCTTGTGGAGCGACCACTGACGGCCGGGCGGCAGACTTGTACAAAGCACCTTTTTTTCAATTCATGTTGTATCATGTTGTAGTTAGTATTGCTTCTCTGGCAGCTTATATTTAATGGAATAGGTAGTACCTGGCATCTCGACTCGATATCAGCCCCCTCCCGGCCGTTGTTCTCAGGTCGAGTTAAACATCTCTAACTTTTCCCGGCGGTCGGTAACTATAGAGCATGGATCTAGATGCTATAGTTAGCTATGAGGCTCCCGCAGGCCACCTGACGTAGGCCAAGCGCGCGTCTCCGGCGGCAGACAGCAGTGAAACAAGTACAAGAGACCCCAGGAGCAGCCTGTCTACCTGTGTGTACATCCAGTACATCACCCTATACATCTCAACGCCGACGTTTGTCGTTGTTTCGGCAACCTGATACAGACAGGAGAGTTTGACGGCGCGGATCGCAAAGTTATCCTCTGCTAGCCCGCCGAAACTTATATGAAACCCCACCTCGATACGCCGAGTTGAAGATATTTCACTGACAGACAGAAAGAGACCAGTCAATTGAATGCAGCTATCATAGCGTACATAAACCATGGCTCCGTCGATTCGAGTTATCGGTTCGCTGAACGTGGACATGGTCTCCGTGACCCCCCGGTTCCCCGTCCCGGGAGAGACGCTGACGGCAACATCCTTCACGACCAGCCCAGGAGGCAAAGGAGCCAACCAAGCCGTTGCCTGCGGTCGTCTTTCTCGATCCCGAACTTCTTCCTCCTCTTCTCCCTCGGGTGTGTTGGCCAACGTCGAGATGGTCGGCGCAGTCGGCCGGTTAGACGCACACTTCGGCACATTGTTACAACCTACACTCGCCAACTCCGGAGTTAGCACAGACCGAGTACGGAGGATAGACGATGAACACACAGGTGTAGCTGTGATTATTGTTGACACATCTGCTGCTGGCGAGAATAGGATACTGTTTTCACCTAATGCAAACTACACTGGAATGAAACCTACGGATGAAGTGATTTCGCAGTCACTGTCAACTCCTCTACCAGACCTCATTGTCCTGCAGGCAGAAATCCCCATTGATACGGTTATTGGTATTCTGAGAGGAGTAGCTGCTAAGAAGAAACTTCAAGAAAGTGATGTTGAAGTTGTATTCAACCCTGCTCCCGCACCTGAAGGCGGGCTACCGGACGATGTATATGCAGCCGTTGACCATTTGATCATGAACGAGACGGAGTGTGGGTTGATGGCACCCGAGGAGTTACGAGATAGTGGCCTCTCTCAAGAAGAACAGAGGAACAAAATTGCCGTTCACTTCCATGCCCTTGGGGTGCGATATGTGATTGTCACACTCGGAGCCAAGGGGGTATGGTATAGTGCCGCCGAGCCTGGTAAGGTCGCTCAGCAGGATGCGGGCACGTGGATTAGGTCTGTCAACGAGGTTCCTGCCTCAAGGGTGGACAAGGTTGTTGATACTACGGCTGCGGGTGATACGTTCGTTGGCGGATACTGTGTTCAGATTGCACAGTGGAGGGAACAGAGGAGGGCGGCGGGAAAGGCTTGCTCGGCTCTTACAACAGATGAATGGAAGGATAGGTATGGGATTGTGACAGAGGAAGCTGTTAGATGTGGTACAAGGGCCTCTGCTCAATGCGTCCAGCGATCTGGGGCAATGGATAGTATCCCATTCAGGGATGAGATCTAGATTTACATAATCGAAGTACTGTGGAATAAAGTTCTCTTGGGATAAGGAGTCGTCTCTGCAGAACATTGAAGCAATTAGATTATGGATATCTCAAAAACTAATAGAAAAGTGCCGTGACCATAGATGATGTTAAAGTTACTAAGAATATAGAGCAGTAAATAACGTTAAGGCAACATAGTTATTATTTTGACTATCAGACTCGGTATATTGACTATGTCCTTGACCCAGTCTGGTCGTGATATAAGAGCCACCAAGCTTCGGGCAGGGGTGACAACTGGGGAAATGTCGGCTTAAATACATCATGAGCATGGATTCAATGTCTAACGACCTGTTTATGCAGCGGAAGTGGTGACCTTCTGTTGGCAAGCTCCAGAAGAACAGCCGCAGCCACCATTGCAGGCATTGGCACAGCCAAGGGAGTGTGCACTCGCGAATCCGGAAGCCTGGATGGTTGGGTCGCTCTGGTGGCTGGACTGGTAACACTTCTTGGTTCGAGAGTGGTAGTCGACACTGTGGCACTGGAGAATGGAAGAGCAGGCATCCATGCACTCCTTCAGACTGTTCACAATCTCTCCGCCAATAGGGGTGGTACCATGTCTCTTGCCGTAAGACATCTTGTAGACCTCGCCATGGTCAGTGGTATAGATCATACCGTCGGCTTCGGGACATTCAACAGAGCAAAGGGTCCTCTTCTCAACGGCGGTTGGATAAGTTGGTGGGTCAATAGTATAGGCAAAGTGATGGTTCTGGCATGGGGCACTTTGAGAGTTGGGATCGTATGGGCCTTGCATGATGTCACAGGCGCCGTTCGCGTGCTCGTAGTTGATGGCCTCACAACCGTCGGTGGAGCTGCACCGATCAACACAGTCCTGGTAACTTGACGCGGTGATTCTGTTCTTGTTGGTGGTGAACCAGTTGTGAGTAACACACTGGAGCTTGAACCAGCTGCCATCTGGGGCCATATAGACCTTTCCGCTATCGGAGTTGCAGTTCGGAGTGGTTGTAATTTGGACGTTTTGTTGGATGGGCTGGTTGTTCGAAGACCCTCCTCCACTCGAAGGGTTCCCGGTTCCGGGATTGGGGGTGCCGCCTGCACCTCCACTGCCGCCGCCGAGGGTATCCCATGGATCGGTGGCTGGGAGAGGGGCGGTTCCTCCGCTTCCTCCACTGCCACCGCTACCACCGCTTCCTCCATTTAGAGTAGACCAGGGGTCATTGGCAATTGGGACTTGAGGGGCAGGAGCAGGAGCAGGCTGAGACCCTTGGGATCCTTGGGATCCTTGGCCAAGGGTATCCCAAGGGCTACCCTGGGCAAAAACCCCGTGAGAGCTCAGGAGAGTTGAAAAGATGCAAACGCCATTGACGACCGCCGCATTGAATCGAACCATGGTGACTAGATAAAGGGGTCCTGGAGTGTAAAAAATGGTTATAATCAACAAGTGCAGGTGTGTGCTTCTTCGGTCTGACCTAGGATATCCATTGTGCTTTATATAGTCGTCATGAACATATTTTCAAGCAAGTATACTCCATAAGCTTGGATAATGAATATGGAGAAGGGTTGAGATCCAAATTTCAGATTTACGCCATGTACGTAACAGTACGTGATTGCTCTCGATTATTCCGGACATCTAATGCCTAGTTTGACTTACGATGTTCTCCGAACAGATCATAACAGCCAATGATGCCACTGTTTAGTCACTGCGACTGTAAATCAGGACAATGACATTGCTGGGGAGATAAGGTCCTGGGTGGCTAAAAATGTAGATCCGGCTGGTCGAGCCATTCAGAGAATTCTGTGTCTCAAAATTGGGCTTGGGGTATCAAGCAGGTAATGCGAGGTTACTCAAGTCTTGTAAAGCCGTTATTGGTTGCTCTAAATTGCGTTCATAATAATATGGACACCTTTGCTGAAACTTGATATCTTCTTCACCTGTATGAGTGAGATCGAAGTCCGAGCCTGATGAAAACCAAGGAGAGCAACACAAATTTGAGGGTTTTGGCATTTAGGCCTAGCCTAGTATCCCCAAAGGGCAAATGCAGATCTCTTCGTTGATCGTGAAGTCAAGATGAAGATTCTCAAAAATCAGAATCTGATTTCCTCGCCTTCGGGTAACGGTGAGGGGTGAGTTCTTGAAAATCGATAAGCTCAAGGCGAGGTATATAAAGGCCTGTCCCCGTGGATATGGTTCCATCTTTCATCATCATTCACCTCATCAAAAAGGACGTAATCGACCAACTCCCACTATTAGTAGCTATTGCTTCTCAATTGTGAAGGTGTGTCTTTATCCTGCCAACCTACCTCCCAATTGGGGCTTGTTAGGCTGACCATCCATCCCATAGTATTCTCTCATCAAGACAAAATGCAGCTCACCGCACTTATCTCTGTTGCTCTTGTCCTTATGGGCACTGCCAACGCTCAAATGTGGATTCCTTTGAACATCCCGATCCCGAAACCGGCACCTGCTCCTGCTCCAGCTCCAGCACAGAACTGCCCGCCGTGCCCAGCAGCGCCAGCCTGCCCACCGCCACCAGCCTGTCCACCAGCGCCAGCATGCCCCCTCTCGCCATCCAGTATCCAAAAGGGCCAGCAAGCCTGCAGCAACGTGTTCCCTGGCTCCGAGCCAGTGTTCAAAGCTGATGGAAGCCCCAAGGGATGCGCACCACCTGGTGGCTTCTGCACGAATCAGCTCAAATGTTAAGTCTCAGATGGCCCATATCATGTGGAATACTCGAATGATATCACCACGCTTTCAAGGGAGCCTAATCTCATGGTATATGCGGAGGACGCCATCTTCACAATGCTGCCAGTTTCATGTCGGTAGTTAGGCTAGTCAATATTTGAGTCCAAGCAAATTTCAGATCCTTCTGCCATCCCACCCAGCTGGAACTATAATGTTCGAAAATTGTAGAACGTCCATAATACTGCAAATTTGTTGTCCATCGGAGGCGAAAATCAGGTTCTCCATGCCGAGTCATATCACGTGAAAACCTTAAATCGAATTAGATTAGACTATCGAGATATACTATGGGGGCCTATGCCTTTTTAGTTCTAGCACGGAAGTTCGTTTCGACGTCGAAAACTCACCCAAAACAAAAACATCGTTGTTGACAATGGATATCTTCTAATGGATGACTGTAAATGTGTAACTTAGACGGAGTATAACCACGGTGGTCATCATATATGACATATCCTCCTCGGACTGAGGAGAAGAATCTTGACAGTGATGTTAATCGCACGTGTACTCTGCACCCGGCCTCGTTTCTGATATCCCACATTGGCACTGCAATAAACCAGGCACCTATAAATCGGTCCTTGGCAAGCATCGATAGGAGGACATATGTTTTGTCTTGCTCTTGAATTTAACGCATACCTACTGGCCTGCACTGATTTAAATCTCGCCTGGTGCTATAACATAAGATTGTTATTTGCTCCGTTACTGCTTTCGATGGTGGTGGTGGTTCTTCATTATAGTCCTATGCAGTCAATGACTATGAGGACTCAAACACTATCTCTTAGCTAATTACATGTATGTGTCTTCCTTAATACAGGGTTCCTAGTTAGGTATTCTATTTAACTAAGCTTAAACTACCCTATAGGCCTTAGGGAGGCAGTTAACCCCTTACTATTCGCAAGGTTCTCCTAATAACTGGCCTATAGCCTTAGGGAAAACCCTTAAAACCTAAGGTAACTAGGGTATCTAGATATTATTTAATAATAATAAGTAAAAGCCTTAAGGTAGTACCCTACTCCTCCTAGGGAGGGGGACTCCCTATAGTAATATAATCTTAGGGAGCGTAGGAATCAAACCTACAACCCTGGTGTCTCAGATGGCCGGGCCCCAACCAGCAAATCCTACTTACTAGGGCTTCCAGGCAGCCGTATTACCACTCGACCACCTGCCCCCCTTACTGCTTTCGAGATAAACATGATAGTATTCCACCAAGCCACTCAAGCGACTAGCATTTGCTTTCTGTGGCTTGAGTTCATATTCGCTCAGTTTTTAAGCTTCCCAGAAAGATGGGATCAACTTCCGGGAGCAGATCCATGATTGCCGTGCAGCAGATAACCGAAGGCTGGAATTTGGGACTTGCTCAGCCAAAAATCTTGACACGGAAATCAAGTTCCGATCCATACGTCGATCTGCCTTCAAGAGGCTAGAACGTCGACGAGATTTTGGTTCAATTGTGGGCATGAGATATGGTATATATATAACTTGAGCTCAAAACTCCATGGCTAGGACAAGGGAATAAGAAGGCTTACTCCCAGTGTAGTTATATTCACAATGTTTCCGGCCAAGATTCTCGCAGTTCCGCTGCTACTGCTAATCGGGGTTTCAAAGGCTTCTAGTTAGTAATCTCCCGATCTCGAACTCGCAATAAATATATCTAACCAGATGTGAAGACGGCGTCTTAGATATACCGTTTTTTCGTCCGGATGAGTCCACGAGCTGCCCTGCCCATTCTTATAATGCCTACATCATAAATCGAGAGCCACTTGTTACTTACATATCTTCCTTTGTTTCCAATGAGGAGATCGACCACCTTTTGAAGGCAAGGTAGGCTCACACGAAGAATATCCTTAAAAAAAAAAAAAAAGATCGACATGATACTGACTTGCCAATGTCGATGGTATAGTGAAGACAATTATGCGCCCTCTGGTGTTTACAACGGGGTAGGTACGGGTATAAACGTACAAGAGAGACTTTCTGAGGTCGCATATCCTGAAGGCGTGAGCGCTGTCGAGTGCGTCGGAAGGCGTGCTCTCGCTTTCCAAGGCTGGTCACCGTACATCAGTATTGAAAAGCTCCAGGTGCAGCGCTATAAGACGAATGGATTTTTCAAATACCACTACGACTCTTTCGGTGAAGGGTTGAATGGGGACAGGGTATCGACCTTCAATATATTCCTCCATTCAAACTGTACTGGTGGCGGCACCCATTTCCCCAACCTACGGATGCCGGAGGACCCAAGGTGGTGTGAATTCATCGAGTGTGGCCCGGACGAGTCTGGGGAAGCGAGGACGGGCATCACATTCAAGCCAATTAGCGGGAATGCGGTGTTCTGGGAAAACATCCGGCCTAACGGGGAGAGGTATCAGGAAACCCTACACGCCGGTCTGCAGATCGAGTCTGGCACTAAGATTGGATTGAACATCTGGAGCTGGCATGACATTGGCCTCTCCGAGGCTCGGTTGTGAATCTGCTGTACGGAGAAGTACGCCCAGGTATTCCAGATCGGGCTGTATCAGGGGCATCAACGGTGGCTCGAACAGGATGTGCCTGCTGGCCCTCTGTCTATGGAGTTGTCTCTGTGATACTAATATCAGTTAGTGTATGCTAGAACTTGCATCTGTCCGTCAAGTCAATGAGTTGGTTATGTACCTGCATGCTCCGTAGCCGAGTATTGAATATGTACGACGGCGACAGCAGCAGGATCAAGATCTGCCTGTCCCCTGTCCTCCCTGGCCGCCTCGCGAACAGGTAATTAATTAATTAGTTAACTAGTTCACGTCGCGACTGGCTGGCTCTAGGGTGTCTCTACGCGTCGTGCCCCTGAGTATTGTAACCACCAAACCGCAGCCAGAGCATGCAAACCGACGGAGATAGAGACTCGCTGTACGGAGTATCTAGCACTATTATCTTTTCTTATCATCATCATCATCATCATCACCGTCTTCTTCTTCATCATCTTCATTATTGTCTTCTTCTTCATCGCCGTCTTCGTCGCCGTCGCATCGCCAGCTCACGTCGCGTCGCGTCGCGAAAAACCACTATAACCCAGTTGGGCCTTCGTGGCTGCGACCTGCATAAACGCCACAAAATCTTCCGACTTGCTCGCTGGCCGTCGTATCACCGTCAAGGCATCTCCATCTGCCAGCCGTCAGCATCTCGCATTCTCCTGCTTTGCCGCCCGCATCGTCACGGACTACACGTAGCGGCACGTCTCGACTGGCTGAGATCGACCCCTGGACCCTCCTGTATGACGATAGACGTGCTGGGGCCTGGTTCTCCTCCCTTCGTCCGCCCTCGCTGCGCCATCTGAATCTGCTGCTGAACCGCCCTGGGTCGCGACGAGGGGTCTTAGTCCCGTCCTTCTATTGAAACGTACCATCGCCAGGGTCCCGCGTCGCTGAAATATAGGTCGCGGTCGGCCGGCTTGCCTATTAGTGATCGGGCATCCTCTATATTGCTTGCGGCGCCTCTCTCCCTCGCCAGACATCTTCATCTCCCCAAGCTCTGTGGTGAAGACGACTTGACAACCCTCATCCCTTGCTTCAATATATATACTCCGTACGTCTCACATATATATACACATACACCAGACGGACATATATACGCATATATACGCGCTCAGGAGGATATCTCAGCAGCTCTCGAAGATATGGCCGCAGTATCCTACCCAATGTCTCCTGCGAGGCAGCCCTTTGCGGTCCTGGGTGAGGCCAGACTGCGTACGGCCAACAGCATCAAGAACCAGCAGAATGGTATGAGAAACTCCTTAACTTCCTCAAAGACAGTATCAAGATAAGCGGGACTTACCATTAGCCAGGCGCGACAGCAAACTCGTTGAAGCGTCGACTGGACGTGTTGGACACCTCAGATGCTGAGAATATCGACCCTCTTCTCATGGGCTCCCCATCCAAGCGCAACAAGGGCGGCATCCAGGTGCACCAAGATACCACTGATAGCATCCACATCTTCACCAAGCCAGCCTTGCCTGTCAAGACGCCAGCAAAGGCGCGAAGCAGCAGCTCGGAATTCATCACGCCTGCGCGCCCAATCCGTGGCCAGTCTTCTCTCTCTGCTCCCCTCAGAGCACCAGCTGGCCGTTCTCCAAAGTCAAAGGCAAAGAGCGTCAAGGCCTTTGGCCGTCGTAGCCTTGGCTTCTGCCGCGTTGACCCTCCCACTACCAACAAGCGTAGCATGACTCGCGTGCCTTTCTCCATTGCTGATGCTCTCAATGGCACTTTCACCGTCTCCCGCCCAGTTGCCGAGTCGACCTCATCAACCACGCCAAAGGCTAGACGTCCAAAGGCATGGGACTTTGAAATCCACGCCGACACCGAACAAGACGAGATGGCAAACTTGATGCAACACTCGACCTGTGTTCTTGACATCAGTGACGACGAGGAGAAGCAGGCACGCGAAACCAGAGGCAAGGAGAACATTCCTCCTTCGCAACCTCTTAGTGATGGAAGCAATGGACCTGCTACCGCCCAACATACGTCGACCACTGCTGCTAGGAATGTAGAGATGGGAGATGAACCTCGTTCGCCTTTGGGTGAACTTGATGTAAAGGCCTTCATCCCTGAAGGTGAAGACATTAACAGTGTTGTCATTATCCCAGAGGACGAGGACGACACATCTGCCGAACAGAACTCTACCGCTGTTACTGTTGAGAAGCCATCGGATGCTGCCCAAGACAAGCAGTCTAAGGCATCTGTTCAACCGGAATCCCTCTCCAAGACAAAGATCGCGAGTCTACTCGGCCGCACGGCTCCAAAGGTTCAACCCGAGGAGCAACCCAAGGAGGACACCCCAGCCACCGAAATAAAAACTTGCGAGGGTTCCACTACAATCGAGGAGGCCTCCACTACCACCAAGGGATCCGATGAGCCTGTTGAGCCATCTGCCCCCTCGTCATCCTAATAACCTCGATACCTCAGAATGATGGACATTTGTGATGACTAGTTTTCTTCTCTTATTTCATCTCTGTTTCCTTTCCGGGTGTTCTGGGTCGGTGTTTTTCTTTTCTTTTCTTTCAAAATGGGTATATTCTCCTTCGGTGTTGTGGGTATCTCTATTTCCTAAGGAGTTCCTGGTTTGTTTTTCTTCTTTCCTACCACGTCACTCATTTGATTGTTTGATTACAGTATCCCTATTCCAAGCTTAGCTCCTGCTATCCCACCCCTAATCAATTGCTCACCTCAGTTCTGCGCCTGTTTGCTTGATTTGCCATCGACTACTTTAGTTTTGCTTGCCTGCCTGCTCGCCTGCCTGCTTACCTGCTGCCCATTGCTTGCTTGAGTTACCGCAATGACCGTGATGTTGAATGTCCATGTCTGTTTACGCAGCGTTTGCACCAAAGTTAACCCACAGCAACACGATGGCCATGATTTACGAGGACAAGAGCTGAAAGTGTGAACGACGGAATGTGTGTGAAATGTTACTTTATGAAAGCTGCCTTTGAAAGTTTGTTGCGCTGCTTTATTTTTTTCCCTTTGACTTTGCAACGGTTTGTTGCCACTGCGTAATATGTTTGAGTTTCCCGTGTAATTACTACCCGTGCTTTAATGTTTGTATCGTTCAATATAAAAATTAGTTATGGCTCCTACTTAAAACGTGCTTGGTAGAGACAGATATTACTATCCCTTCTGGGGCTCGATATCGATGTCTTCCCCTTCATCGTAATCTCCCATTACTTCGTCTTCATCGTCTTCATCGTCATCCTGATCTTGCTCCTGCTCCTCGCCCTCCCCATCATCTTCATCCTCGTCCGGTTGATCGTCCCATCTAACTCTCTTTTCACTCCTCCCTAAAGGCCCAACGGCTCCCCTAAATCTCTCCCTCATCTTGTCCATTTTCCACGGCACATTTCGAGCCACTGCTCGAATCTCTGTGAGTAAATGTGACGGTACGGGTCCCAGTCCATCCTTAACCAGAGTTAGCTTATTCAGATCCTCCTCTGAATCTACATGACTCGGCAGACTCAGTAGAGGCAATAACTCCTGCTCCGAAGGCCAGTCTGTTCGGCCTTCCATCATCATAGTCATCTTCATACGCATTATCGTGCGAACTATTGAGAGTGTAACGTTACCATACCATCCACAGGAGTAGATATCACACTTTTCCCGAGGAGGATGTGCGTCAGGAGACGAAGGATCTAGTAGCCGGGCGAGTATCGGATCTTCAATATCTACTATCATCCATGTCTTTCCATCTTTAGAGAGTGGCGGTTCGCCAGTCCAGATATGCGATCTAGCGAGTGTAGGGTCAGTGTTGTTTTCAAATGATAGGCGAGGGAGAGTGTGTCGTCTTCCCGACAGAGGGGTGGTGGTGGTTGTAAATTGTGCGTTTGGGTCATTTTCCTGCTCCCGTCCCTCCGCCTCAGCTGAGACTGGGAAAAGGCGGAACATAAGCGTCTGATAGATTCTGTAATCAGGTGAGATTCGGGGATCAAAGCCAAATTTGAATATGCCATCTCGCCAGGGTCCCGAGCGGAAGAGGTAGCCGACATATGGAATGGCGATACGGAGGGCATATTTTCTTTCGGGTGTGGGCAGTTTGTTACGAAGAGCGCGACGAGTCCAAGCTGGTCTTTCATTAAAGAGTGCGCGCAGGGCAGCCACAGTGTCGTGGACCGTAGGATCCTGATCTGACAGTGGTGGGCAGTTTGGTTGTGGCTCCGTTGGTACCGCTGATATGTCGTAAGACACAAGGTGAGTGGGTATCTTTACTATTCGTTGGGTGTTGGCAGTTGTTACTTGGCCAGATGGGTCAATCGAACGCTTCACTGTTGGGTTTTGTCGGTAGCTATGGACTTGTTAGAACATGTTTGGGGTCTGACTATGACGTAATGGAGTCTCCTTACAGATATTGGAAGGCAACATCGTTGTTACTTAGGGCTGGGGGTGGGATGATGTCGACGTTGGATGTAGCCCCCTTTGAGAGGTCAAATTCAAACTTTTTCAGTTTTTCGTCTCCAAGGCAGGGTCAGCAAACACCTACGATTTATCGAACTGAACACAACCATAACTTACATTCGAATGGTAATATCGTCTCTCGAAATTTCTGTATAAAAGGGCTTCTTGTCGTGGAGTATGCAAAATCAGGTAGTCCTACATCCAGTCATTAGGCTGAAGCTGCAGCCATAAAAATTCGTAGACATTACACACCTCTAAAAACATGTGTTCGATTAACCTGGCCAACAACATCTACTTGATACCGCCTGGCATCTTCTCGTAGACGCTGAAGAAGACCTCGAGCATCTAGCTGGCTAAGAGGCGTCACCTCCCCATCCTCATGACTATCAACGAACGGGTCCTGAGAACCTCGCTTCCGCCTTCTCCCGGTCCTCTTGGGCACGGTAACCTTGAGAAGAATATTGTTTGTCTGCTTGCTTGTAGATCTTATTGGCCTGCTCATGACATCTTCCGGGTTCAGCATGAGAGTCAAGGGTGAGTCTTGATTTGACGCATCAAGCATCTAACAGGCAAATTAGCATGCGCATGGGCAGCAGTAAATGTTTGATCGACCTACTTCTGATATTGCTGCATGGCCTTGGAGGGTATCAATGGCCTTATCAATGTTTCTTACAACACATGGGTGTTCTACGCTGACAACGTCCTGTGGCGGCACTGCATACCACGGAGCAGTACGCTCGCCACCAGCATGTTCATGAGACATTGGGTATCAATTGCAGGCCCGCTTGGTGTTGTTTTTTCCAGCTGTATAAAGCAGAGATAAGATCCTTTATTGATCGTATAGCTCCTTGTTGGTTGCTTGTTAGTTAGCGCTGCAGGGAGCTCCTGGCACTGGGTATAGAGTCCTTTCAGACGGCCAAACGTGTAGCTGCTCTCGTTTGATGCAGTTTGCCCATGGTCAGTGTCTCATCATCCACCATTCACCTGTCTCAACCGACCTGCCCGCTGTATATATATCCGGCGTCTCCCCTCCGTCTGTCTGCCTTGCCCATCTTCAACCTTTCATCGCCTTTGCTTGTCTGTCCGTCTTTCACTTCGTGCTGCAACGCTCACGTGACACCTTCAAACTTCCCCCCCCCCGGCGCCGTTTCGAGATGCGAAGAGCGTCGACTCTCTGGCCTGCCAACGAGAAAGGACGAGACTGAATGGCTGCTTCAAGGCTCAAACTACGCTGACCTCGCGCCCGTCGTGCCTCTGTCGCCTGCTGCTTAAGCACTGCCTTCACTCCCTCCGGCAGCGAGATTCACTCCTCCTTGCCCAATCGCTGGTTAGCTACTTTCGCTGGGCCCCGAACAACGCCCCCCGCCCTTCTGGAGTTTGGACAACGCTCGCGCTGCCAAAAACACACCAAGGAAGCAACAGAAAAGGGGCAAAAGGCTTCAATAGACGCGTGTGAATACGGCTGTCAGGTCTGCTACTGCTGGCTCCGAAAGGCTCGAGGTAGGTCGTGCAACGCTGCTCTTCTTCCTGCTCTCCCCTTGCGTCTCACTCTCCTTGGTGGACGGGATGTTGTTTTGGCCCTGCGCTCCCCCGTCCAGCCCGTGCCCTGCAACCTCAATCTGTCTACCTCGCCCAATGCTTTCGGGTCCGACGCTGCATTTTCTCGCTGGAACAAAATAAATTTACTATTCCTATATGCTTGGAATCAGTCAGGTCGCTAACCAGCCATATAAAAAACAATAGTTGACCACCCGCCGTTCACCTCTACCTATCCACCGTCCTCGGCTACCCATCGATTTCCCCCCATACCTTTCCTAAACAGGGGGTAAGATCCGTGGTGGTTGGGCACGGGGCCAACGTTATATTCTGTTGATGCGGCGGGATTATACTTGTTTGTGAGCAAATATGAAGGGCTTCAGGCAGAGAGTTGTAAGTTGCGTGTCAATGGCACATCACCCTCTGACGAGACAACACACACCCACCTGCTCTGCTCAGGGGGCTTTGGAATTTTCGTACAATGCGAAGGATAGAAGCTGATGATGTTAGCACGAGCAGCTGTCCCGCGCGAAGGACTCGAATAAGTCGTCGAAAAAGAAAGACTCCTCTTCTTCTGGTACGTTGTCTCCTGGGGCCTCCGCGAATCTTGGTCAACCAGGGCAAACGTTATCACCGGCAGGCTCGAACCACGGTACTCCTACGTCTTCCACAACCGCTGTCAATGAGACAAAATCGAAACCCACCAGCTCTCCCGACAATGGAGCCGCCGCCGGAATCACCTTGCACCACAACGCTCCCGTTCTCCCTAGTGGCGCACCTAGCCAACAGCATTACATCCCACAGCAACAACACATAGGAGGGCAGATGTCGAGCAATGGACCTGGTACGCCAACTCGCCAGGGAGTTCCCATGGCCCCAAGCGTGGTTATTAGCCCTAGTGCACCGGTATGTTGACTCTTCGCCGATGAACCGATCCTTTCAAATTCCCCATAGGCGTCTTCGGAGTCCAGTTTCCTCCACTTGTTCCTGTAGCTAACTATTACTGTCTCATAGCACATTCCTCCTCCTGGGGCGGCGGAAACAATGCCGGGTGACCTACAGCCACCGAAGATAGGTCAAAAGCCGCACCTTATTGACAGATTACAAACCCCCAAAGATATCACCGGAGGACCTAGACCTCCACGGAGACAGCACTCGTCACGCTTTGATATCTCAGACCAACGTCAGAGGGAACTGGAGAAACTTCCTGGATTCCATGAAGTACCCCCAAACCGACGACAAGACTTGTTCATGCAGAAAATCGACCAGTGCAACATCATATTTGATTTCAACGATGCAACGGGAGATATGAAATCCAAAGAAATCAAACGACTTGCTCTTCATGAACTACTTGACTACGTTGCCAATAATCGGTCGGTCATCACAGAACCTATGTACCCCAAGGTGGTGGAAATGTTCAGCAAAAACCTGTTCCGACCGATTCCCCCTCCCGTCAACCCACAAGGAGACGCATTCGACCCGGAAGAAGACGAGCCTGTGCTAGAGGTAGCGTGGCCTCACATTCAGGTTGTATATGAATTCTTCCTCAGATTCATTGAGAGTCAAGATTTCAGCACCAACATCGCAAAAGCATATATCGACCACCAATTTGTTCTACAGGTAAGCTTTCCTTCCCTCAACATGGCATACAATCGTTACAAAACTAATTCCTTTCCTAGCTACTTGAACTATTTGATTCTGAAGATCCCCGAGAGCGGGACTTTTTGAAGACGACATTGCATCGCATATACGGAAAATTCTTAAATCTACGCTCATATATCCGACGCTCGATCAATAATGTTTTCTTCCAATTTATCTACGAAACTGAACGATTTAACGGCATTGCTGAGTTGCTGGAGATTCTTGGCTCAATTATCAATGGCTTTGCGTTGCCACTCAAGGAGGAGCACAAGCTATTCTTGACGCGCGTTTTATTGCCAATGCATAAAGTTAAGAGTCTGAGCATGTACCATCCACAACTGGCATACTGTATTGTGCAGTTCCTAGAGAAGGATGCAGCCTTGACAGAAGAGGTATACTGCATTCTTTCCTCCCCTCTACTGAGTATCCAAAACTAATATGTTGGTTTCCAGGTTGTTCTTGGCCTCCTTCGCTACTGGCCTAAAGTGAACAGTACGAAAGAGGTCATGTACCTGAATGAGGTCGAAGATATCTTCGAGGTTATGGAACCGGCTGAGTTCGTGAAGGTTCAAGAGCCTCTGTTCCACCAGCTTGCCAAATCAGTCGCCAGTCCTCATTTTCAAGTATGTTACATTGCTGCTGTTAAATATTAAGCTTATGCTAATATGGTATTAGGTTGCGGAACGAGCACTCTACTTTTGGAATAATGAGTACTTCTGTAACTTGGTCGGTGATAATGTAGAAGTCATTCTCCCGATCATGTTTGCACCTCTTTACGAGAATTCTCAAGGACACTGGAACAGGTATGTCGGGCGCGATATCATTCTGATATTATACTCATGCTAACGCTGTCGTCTGCAGAACAATCCACAGCATGGTGTACACTGCTATGAAAATGTTTATGGAAATCAACCCTCAGCTATTTGATGACTGCTCTCACGACTATCGAGAATACCAAAACTCTGCTGAGGCACGAGAAAAGAGCCGCCAGGAGAAATGGGATCGACTGGCTGAAATGGCAAAGGCCAAGCGAGAAAAAGCTGAACTCCCACCAGTGGAAGGCTCCAAGTCTCCTGATGCAGCCGGCTCAAATGACGGCCTAGATCCATTAACCCAAGACAACCAGCAGCGATTAAACGCGCTTAAACTGCAAGACGACACTGCTGCCAGCAAGGAACGGCGGAGAGAGGGTCAAAACTCGGTTAGTGCCTCACGCGTTGATTAAGCATGGAACGGAACCCACGTACCTTGCCTTGCTTCGCTCTCCTGCATTGTTCTCTTCGCTTCTTTTTCTTGTGCACTGGTTGTATTGTAAAATTTTCCCCATTGCCCTTTTCACTTTTTTATCCTTCTTTTAGAGATACTTTTTACCTTTCTTTTTTTGATATCTGCTCTTTTTTTTTTCTTTTCTGAGCCGGCGTGATCCTAACGTTAGACATACGTTTTGAATTCAGAGGCGTCGTCGTGGATCTATCGATGATTCTCGTGGTAGTGGTAGTGGAATGGCTGGTCGGCGGATTGTGGTGGGAGAAGCTCGAAGACGAGGAGAACGGCGAAGTTCGCTCGGCAGCAACAGCAGTCCTGGGCCTTCTCATGCTTCCGTTACTCGTAGCAATTCAACTAGCAAGAGCATGCGGTCTGTCTGAAGCAAAAGGGGGTTGTACTTTTTTCTTTTTTTCCTTCTCGCCACCCAACAAAAGGCGGCATGGAAAAGCTCTTCTTCTACACACAGGTTCGGTACCAAGTTATCCAGCGAATTTAGACTAATGATGATGCCCCCCCCGTTTATCTCATTCTTCCTTTGAAACAGCCGTTTGAAATCGATTGGCTTTCTTCCCGGTAATACTTGGTTTTCATGTCTGTGGCTATGGATTTATTCAGGATCCGTTTCCTGTTCAATATCAATTCTCCTGTATTTTGATCTTTTATATTTCTGCTTCCTGTAATTATTGCTTACTTATCTATCCACTTTCTGGATAGGATTCTAGCTTGGCTGGGCTGCTCCGGAGGAACGCCTGGGACAAATGGGTGAAAAATTTACTGTGCGGAAGGAGTTTTGGAGTGGGACACCTGGCCTTTACAATGTTAGCTGGAAATGAAATATAAACCTGTCTTGCAACTGCCTTGTTCCAGTGTTTCTCTTGGTATTTATCTCTATCTCCATTTTGAATCATTTTCAATTCTTTCATTGCCATCTCGGCCTCTTCGCTTTTGCATCATCAATCAATTTGATATCTGAAGGTTTGGGGAAAATTACTTCACATAGCAAGTTTGCACTTCAAGCAAACACATTATATCATCATTATATAATCATTAAGCTAAACCATATTAGGCTAAAGTGAAGATGCCACTAGTCCTCTTTGGGCACTAGCGCAGGTGAGAAGTTGCGGGCGCGATCCCCCAGGTCCAGATGGTCTTTAGAGAAATTCATTTAATTCACTTATCAACATTCTTCACCTCAGTATCCAGGCCCTTGTCCCTCCACTCTACCGGCCGCCCGATCCTCGTTACATCTTATTTTCCGGGCATACTCACACCGACGACCTCTCTTACCCTCTAATTCCTCCTCCGTCTTTTTTTTCACGGCCGCGAAACCTCCTACGGCCCTCTTCACAGGCTTCCAAATTGCTTAAGACCCTCCTCAGGCCTGTCGAGCTGGAGGACCAGGGAACTGTCATCTTGTGGGCGTTGAAAGGATTTTAGCCGGCCTGAGGGCCTGGCACCCGGTTGATATCAAGGTCGATTGCCCCGGGAATGCCAATTCTGGCTGCGCGCAATCATGGAACGCGAATCGATTGAGCGAAACTTCGACGCCTACGTGACGAAACTAGGCGATCCAAACATTGGTTAGTGGCCTGTATACTGTAGGAGGGATCTTGCCATGTCGAGCTATCGTTTGCTAACAGAAGACACGCGTTTTCACATTGTAGAAACTAAATTAAAATGCGCAGCTGCGGTTGAGATCCGTGACTCCCTGGAGCATCTGTGCTCGGGCGCTACATACCCCATTTTCCTGGCGAAACTATGGCCGGCGTTCAAGAAAGTGCTAAAGGGGGAACCGGTGTTTATCAGTCTCTCATTTGAGCAGGTTAGTGAGGAGAATCTGTCCATGGGAGAGTGGTATACCCTTTCATAAAACTGGAACTGACCGGGCGTACTTTGAACTTAGAAACTACGGAACTGTATCCTAGAGATCCTCCATCGCCTACCTCTAGAGCTTCCGGAAGTTGAGCCATATGCTGGTGACATGGTTGACCTGCTCATAGAACTTGTGAGAAATGAGAACGAGGATAATGCCGTCATCTGTATGAAAACTATCATGGACCTCCAACGACGACAAATCAGGGCGACGCAATCACGAGTTCAAGCTTTTCTGGAGCTCATCCAAAACATGTTTGAAGGGATGCCGCAGGTTGTGCGAGATACTTTTGATACCCCTCAGGCCCAGACTTCCACTCCTGGAATGCCTTCGACACCCAACACGGCGGCTCAGAACTTCCAGTCCCCACGCCCTAGTTCTCCGGCTACTTCTGTATCTGACCTGGGACCTGAGCAGCAGCAAACAAACCAAATGTTAGCGAAGGGTATGCATTCGTTCAAGGTGCTTGCGGAGTGTCCTATCATCGTCGTCTCGATCTTCCAGATACACCGCCACCCTGTAACCACCAACGTGAAGGTGTTTGTTCCTCTTATAAAGGGGATATTACTTCTCCAAGCGCGGCCGCAAGAGAAGGCCCACAACGAAGCCAGAGCGCAGGGGAAGATTTTTACCGGGGTCAGCAAAGATATCAAGAACAGAGCCGCCTTTGGGGAATTCATCACCCTGCAGGTCAAGACGATGAGTTTCCTTGCCTACCTACTAAGAGTTTATGCAAGTCACCTCCAGGATTTCCTTCCTTCTTTGCCTGGAGTCGTCGTTCGTTTGCTGCAAGATTGTCCCAGGGAGAAGTCCAGTGCGAGGAAGGAGCTCTTAGTCGCAATCCGCCATATCATCAATTTCAACTACCGCAAGATATTCCTTGAAAAGCTTGACGACCTCTTAGACGAGCGGACATTGATCGGTGATGGTCTTACGGTGTATGAGGCGCTCAGGCCACTAGCTTACAGCATGTTAGCCGACCTGATACACCATGTGCGCGAATCCCTTACTCGGGACCAAATTCGTCGTACTCTCGAAGTCTACACTAGGAATCTTCATGATGATCTTCCTGGAACTAGCTTTCAGGCAATGAGCGCGAAGCTGCTCCTCAACATGGCCGAGAAAATAGCTAGCATGGAGAATAAGAAGGAGGCGCGGTACTTCCTTATCATGATTCTGGATGCTATTGGGGACAAGTTCGCCACCATGAACTATCAATACAACAATGCGGTTAAGGCATCGAAGCTCGTCAAGCAGAATGCAGATAATTTGTCAGAAGGATACCTTGCTGATAAGAACCATCCTCCGGACTGGGACGAGATTGATATATTCACTGCAGCACCGATAAAAGCCACCAATCCCAGAGATAGGAATGCTGACCCTGTCAATGATAATAAGTTCTTGTTTAAGACTCTTATTACTGGTTTGAAGGGTCTGTTCTATCAGCTAAAGAGCTGCAACCCAGAGGATCTAAAACTAGACCCATCGTACACACCTGTTAACTGGGCAGAAGTCTCGTTTGGATACAATGCTGAAGAAGTCCGTATTATCAAAAAACTCTTCCACGAAGGTGCGGGACTTTTCAGATATTATGGTGCGGATAGCAAGGAGCCTGAGATTCAATATGCAAGCCCTCTTGAGTTTCTCTCTAGCCAGTATATGCGACACATGAGCTCCGAGGAAAAGGAGCTTCTTGAAAGCTTTGGGACTATCTTTCACTGTGTTGATACTGCGGCATTCCATGAAGTTTTCAAGAGTGAGATTCCCTATTTGCACAGCCTTATGCTGGAGCACAGCGCCCTGCTTCATCTCCCGCAATTCTTTCTCGCGAGCGAAGCCACATCTCCTGCCGTTGCTGGGATGACTCTACAGTACTTGATGGAACACATCCATGAAGTTGGGTCTGCGGATGTCGCCAACTCCCGGATTCTCTTGAGAATGTTCAAGCTTTCGTTCATGGCTGTCACACTATTTTCGGCACAGAACGAACAGGTACTTCACCCGCACGTCACCAAGATTGTTGCCAAGTGCATTGAGTATTCTGTGACTGCAGAAGAGCGGATGAATTATTTCCTGCTTCTCAGATCCCTTTTCCGAAGTATTGGAGGTGGACGCTTTGAGTTACTCTACAAAGAATTACTGCCCTTGCTGGAGATGTTACTGGAAACTTTCAATAATCTTCTACTTGGCGCTAGGAAGACACAGGAACGTGATTTATATGTGGAATTGACGCTGACTGTCCCAGCACGACTTAGCCACTTGCTTCCTTATCTAAGCTATCTCATGAGGCCGTTAGTTGTTGCTCTCCGGGCAGGGTCAGATCTTGTCAGCCAAGGTCTTAGAACCCTTGAGCTCTGTGTTGACAACCTGACTGCCGATTACCTGGATCCAATTATGGCTCCGATAATGGACGAGCTTATGACTGCTCTCTGGGATCATCTCCGACCAAACCCTTACAGCCACTTCCATGCCCACACCACGATGAGAATTCTTGGGAAGCTTGGTGGGCGAAATCGAAAATTCCTTAATCACCCTCCTGAGCTCTCATTCCAACAATACTCCGATGATACACCGAGCATGGATATCAAACTTATTGGGTCTAATAAGGATAGGGCCTTTCCTCTCGATATCGGAATTGACCTTGCCCTAGGGAAGTTACTTGACTCTCCTGCAGCCAATGCATCCGAGACTGTGCAGAAGGCAGATTTATTCTACAAGAAGCAAGCGTACCGCATGCTGAGCTCTCAGCTCAAGCTCTATATTGGTTTCGAGCATCCACCCGATGACCTGGCAACACTCCTACGCCTTCAGGCCAATGATCTAGCAGATGGGAAGTTCTCTGGGACAGTGGATATCTTGGAGAAGTCTGATCGTCAATGCTCCTCCTCAAAGAGACTTGCACAAGAGACCACCCTCAAGAAGTTATTGAAGGCTTGCATAGTTGCATCTACAATCCCGCACTTGAAACAATCTGCAACCGCTTTTCTAGCTGATGTTTGCCGCCATTTTACCATTATTGAAATCGGAAGGTCTCTAGCACAATCACGGCATATACGTCGTCCTTTCAGCGTGTCGCTGGGCGAAGGCCCCTTGTATCTGGATACAAGGACTCTTGCTGATGCTGTGGTTGAATGTTTAGCCTCTGAAAATCCCGCGGTTCGTGACGCCGCTAAAGAGGTTATCTTCAACGTCCGAAGTGCTGCCGTTGTTATATTCGGCTCTGCAGAGAAGGCAGGAAAACTCCCATTCTTCCCCCATCTCGGTAGAACGCTTTGCCATGCTTGTCATGATGAGGAGTGGTTCACAAAGGCTGCTGGAAGCCTTGGTATACATCTTTTCGTTACTGAACTAGACTTGGGAAACGCTTGGTTGATCGACCGGCAAGTTGAATTCATTCGAGCCCTTATGTACGTGATTAAAGACACGCCATCTGATTTCCCGGGAGCTACTCGAACCCAAGCCCAAAAGACAATGGACTTGATTCTCCGGAAATGCAATGAGGGCGTTTCCAAAGAGGAGCTGAAAAACGAACGGGGCCGAGTGTTGGCCTTGTGCGGCGTATTGAGCTATGAACTATCCCATATGAACAAACATGTTCGTCAGGCTGCCCAGAGTGGAATAGCGACTCTTGCAACAACTTTGGGTGCGGAAGTTCATGAGCTAATTACTCCCGTCAAAGACCGACTTTTGATGCCAATATTCAACAAGCCACTCCGTGCTTTACCCTTCCCTACTCAGATTGGCTGTATCGAAGCGATAGCATACTGCCTCGGTCTTCGTCAGAACATCGTCACATTTAATGATCAGCTCAACCGTTTGCTAATGGAATCTCTGGCCCTTGCCGACGTGGACGATGATGCCTTAGCATCCAAACCAAATGAGTTCAAGACTGCTGAGCAGATCGTTAACCTTCGTGTCTCCTGTCTCCGTCTTCTGTCAATGGCCATGGGTTTCCCCGACTTTGCAAGCGGTCCACAGAGCCATAGCCGCGCTAGAATCATTGCTTGTTTTTTCAAGTCGTTGTATTCAAGATCCCCCGAGATTATTGAAGCTGCGAACTCTGGCCTTCGCGATGTTCTCACTCAGACCAACAAGTTGCCTAAGGACCTACTTCAGAACGGCCTTCGACCAATTTTAATGAACCTTCAGGACCCCAAACGTTTGAGTGTTGCTGGTTTGGATGGATTAGCTCGCCTTCTCACCCTACTGACGAACTATTTCAAAGTTGAAATAGGATCACGGCTCCTGGACCACATGAGAGTCATTGCTGATGAAAACATCTTGCAAAGAGCATCTTTCGGGCTTGTTGAACAGAATTCTCCCATGAAAATTGTTGCTGCTATCTTTAATATTTTCCACCTTCTTCCAGCAGCTGCGACCTCATTCATGGAGAACCTTGTTAACAAAGTCTTGTACTTGGAAGACCGGTTGAGACGGACATCTAGCAGCCCTTTCAGAAAGCCATTACTCAAATACCTCAATCGATATCCCCGAGAGAGCTGGATTTTCATGCAGGCCAAGTTCCAGGAAGAAAAACACGGGAGATTCTTCGGTCATCTCCTAGCAAGCCCCGAGAGTTCAGCATTGCGTTCAACCATTTTTGCGGATTCCGAAACATTAATAAAACTCGCCTTCTTACAAGAAGAGTCCCCCCGCAAAAATACCGCGGCAATTAATGGAATCTACTTTGTCCATTCGATTTGCTCTCATGAAGCTACTAAGGGATTTTTGAATGCCCAGCCTGACTTGAAGCGACACCTCTTGAACAGTGGCCGAGACTTGAATTCTAAGCTGCGTAATGACAGGCTCCCTCCAGACGAGCGGTTGAGAGTCGAACAAGCCCAAGATCAGCTGTTGGAAATATTCACAATTCATCTTTCGCAGTCCCTTGATGACCTTGATTTCCTGTTCGATGTTATCGACAAGATATCTGCTGGTGAATTGAAGACAACTCTTACGTTGCCAAAATTTTTCTACCAGTACATTATCACAAACTCATCCATTGCTTACCGGAGGTCCGTAATTTCTCGCTGCCTAGATCTCTACAACCAGCGTACCTCATCCCAGAAATTGAAAACTTACGCCTTCCATCATCTTGTTAATCCCATACTTGCCATGGATGTGAAGAATACCTGGGACAGTCCAACCCCTGGTACGGGAGTTCTTGATCGGAGTTTAACCGATCTTATCCACAACCGACTATGGAAACCACAGCTGGGTGATCTTAGCGAAGAATCTGGTCAGCCTGGGATAGACCATTCCCGCATGGAGCTTCTTCAACTTTCCGCATTGCTTATAAAATATCACCATGGCATTGTTCAAGAAAGTAGAAAAGACATCATAAAGTTTGCATGGAGCTACATTCGTCTCGAGGATACCATCAACAAGTACGGAGCATACGTACTAATCAGTTATTTCATTGCACATTATGAAACGCCCTCAAAGATTGTCGTCCAAATCTATGTCGCTTTGCTGAGAGCTCATCAGAATGAGGGAAAATCTCTAGTTACCCAGGCATTGGAAATCCTGGCGCCTTCTCTTCCAAAGAGAATTCTCTCCGGCCCCGACCCTCGTTTCCCAGTGTGGGCCAGATGTCCTCGTCGCATTCTAACGGAAGAGACAGCAAACTTACAGCAGGTCATGAGCATACTGCAATTCCTTGTCCGACAGCCCGATCTTTTCTACGAGTCCCGCGAATACTTCATCCCTCTCATAATCCCATCACTTGTCAAGATTGCAGGACCAACCAATGTCTCTTTTGATAGCAGAAAGCTCGTTTTACACTTGATCAACCTTATTTGGATCTGGGAAGAGAAGCGAGTGACTGGATGGCGAGACCCGACTTCACCAAACTCAGCGAAACGAAAATTGGCCGAGATGCAAGCGTCACCATCAATGAGTACTACACCACTCCCACAGAAAGAGCGTCCGGAATACACCATTCCCCTCGACTTGAGGACGCCCCTTATCAAGTACCTTGTTACCTTTGTCTGCAGCCTTGTTGATCGCTTCTCTGTACCTGCAGCGCGGTTCCGCGATCTACTGCCACCAAAGCCTCACCAAGCGCTGAATAACTATGGTGAAATTTGCAAGAAATCAGTGGTTTTGCTCCGACGATTCCTCTCTCCCGAGTACTGGCCTGATGTGGATATTGACCTTTACCAAAAAACTCTAGAGCCTGTTTTATGCAGCGAAAAGGCTGAGAAACCCGACGAAAAGCATATCACGGCCATGGTCAACTCCCTCCAGGTTTTACGTATTCTCTTGGCCGGAAAACCGAACAGCTGGATTCTTGACCGCATGTCTACCATCCAGCATCTTGTGGAAAAGGCTCTACGATCCGATAACCCCGAAATCCAGGATTGTTTACATGGTGGCGAAGAGGAGATGGACATTTCTCCAAAGTTACCACCACCCATCAAGAGAGTTTTGGATGCGCTGCCACAAGAAGAGCCAGTGGAAGAAGAGGGTGGTATGGATGTTGATAAGCCGTCTGCTGAATTTGTAACCTTCCTCTCAACGGTCGCCACTGAGTCAATTTCAAGTGGCAACTATATCGCTGGAATTAATATTCTCTGGACACTTTCGAAATGTCAACCTGCGGAGATGGACCAGCATATACCCCATGTCATGAAGATTTTTTCGCAAAAGCTTGCAAAGGACCACGTCGCTTCTTTCAACAATAACCCACCAGTAGCAAATCGGACTGCGGAACAACAGGCACAAGTGCCCGACCCCTATGAAGTAGAGATTGGCATCGATCTGATCTCGAAAACTATCGATTTGATCGCCGTTCGGATGTCAAATTTGGGTGATCAAAGAAGGCCTTTCTTGAGTGTGTTGGCGCAATTGGTTGAGAGGTCTCAGAATATTCCTCTTTGTACCAAGATCCTAGGGATGGTAGAGAACTGGATCTTCCAGCCCACGGAATCCTGGCCTACATTAAAAGAGAAAACAGCAGTTCTTCATAAGATGCTGCTTTTCGAATCAAGGACCGACTCAACAATGCTTGGGAAGTTTTTGGAGCTTGTCATTCGAGTCTATGAAGACCCCAAGATCACACGAACTGAGCTCACGGTCAGGCTAGAACATGCTTTCCTAATTGGTACAAGGGCTCAAGACGTTGATATGCGAACTCGTTTCATGTCAATATTTGACAAGAGTTTAACACGATCTGCCAACACTCGCCTGAGCTACGTTCTGACTTCACAGAACTGGGACACCCTTGCGGAGTCATTCTGGCTCACTCAAGCTTCGCAGCTGGTGATGGGATCAGTTGATATGTCTGCATCAGTCAAGCTACACCCAGACGACTTCACAATTCCTCCTACATCTTTCATATATGGGCATTCTGAGAAAGATCCAGCTAAGGAGAATGTTGTTGTCGATAACCACCTGGAAGTTCTAGTTGCAGAACAGAAGAAATTCTCTGCGGAACTTGGGGATGTTAAAGCCCGCGATATTCTTGAGCCACTTACTGAGCTTCAACACGCGGACCCTGAAGTTGCATACAAAGTCTGGGTTAGCTTATTCACGATCTGCTGGGCCTCTTTGACACGAGACGAGCGAATTGATCTGGAAAAAGGGATGGTATCACTTCTCACGCGTGAATATCACCATAGACAAATTGACGAACGGCCCAATGTTGTGCAGGCGCTTCTTGAGGGAGTTATCAGAGCTAGTCCTCGCTTCAAGATACCTCCCCACGTCATGAAGTTCCTCAGCCGCACGTTTGATGCATGGTATATGGCTGCTATCGCTCTTGAACGGTATGCGATTGATCCGGTCATTGACACGCCAGTGGTTCGAGAGAGCAACTTGGACGCTCTTGTTGAGATATATGCTGGATTGCAGGAAGATGACATGTTTTATGGTACCTGGAGAAGGCGCTGCAAATTCGTCGAAACTAATGCTGCTCTTTCTTACGAACAACAAGGGATGTGGGATAAATCACAACAATTATACGAGTCGGCTCAGGTAAAGGCACGCACCGGCTCTATTCCATTCGCTCAAGCCGAGTACTTCCTTTGGGAAGATCATTGGATGATTTGCGCACAAAAGCTCCAACAGTGGGATATCCTGACCGATTTTGCGAAACATGAGAATTTCAACGACCTGCTTCTGGAGGCCACTTGGAGAAACCTGGAGAATTGGCAGGGTGACACCAATCGTGAACAAATTGACTCTCTTCTAAAGTCGGTTTCGGATGCACCCACTCCACGCCGCACCTTTTTCCAGGCCTTCATGTCCTTATTAAAATTCCACACGAAACAAGAGACTTTGCAGGAGTTCAATAATGTTTGTGATGAATCTATTCAACTGTCGATTCGAAAATGGCACCAGCTTCCAAAGCGGATCACCAACGCCCACATTCCCATCTTACAGAATTTCCAACAACTTGTCGAGCTTCATGATGCCAGCGTTATCTGCACCAGCCTTTCGCAGACCAACGAGCGCAACATGGATACAAAATCTGCCGAACTGAAACTCCTTCTTACCACATGGCGAGATAGGCTACCTAATGTATGGGATGATATCAATGCCTGGCAGGACCTTGTCACTTGGCGACAACATATCTTCCAACTTATCAATTCCACATACCTTAGCCTTCTCCCTCCTCAGACCAACAATGTGGCAAGCAATTCGTACGCCTTCCGAGGCTACCACGAGACTGCCTGGATAATCAACAGATTTGCTCATGTTGCACGGAAACACCAGATGCCGGAAGTTTGCATCAATCAACTCAGCCGAATCTACACTTTACCCAATATTGAGATTCAAGAAGCCTTTTTGAAGCTGAGAGAGCAAGCAAAGTGTCATTATCAGAACCCGAAGGAGCTGAATAGTGGACTAGAGGTCATCAACAACACCAATCTCAACTACTTCAACGCACAGCAAAAGGCAGAATTCTACACCCTGAAGGGTATGTTTTTGGCGAAATTGGACCATAACATGGAGGCGAATGAGGCATTTGGGGTAGCCTTATTCTACGACTTACGTCTGGCTAAGGCTTGGGCCGAGTGGGGCCAGTACAGCGATCAACGATTCAAAGCTGATCACTCAGATATTGATCAGGCTTGCAATGCAATAAGCTGCTATCTTGAAGCCGCTGGCCTGTACAAAAACCACAAGTCTAGGAAACTCCTCAGTCGTATTCTCTGGTTGTTAAGCCAAGACAACGATGAAGGGAAAATTGCAAGTGCGTTCGAGAATTTCAAGGGGGATACTCCTGTTTGGTACTGGATTACCTTCATACCTCAGCTACTTGCAAGTCTTGCACACCGGGAGGCTAGGCTATGTAAGGCAGTTCTCGGGAAAATCGCCAAGTTGTATCCTCAGTCACTCTTCTTCTTGCTCAGGACCAGCCGCGAGGATTACCTAGGCCTCAAGAAGTCACAAGAGCAGAAACAAGAAAAGTTCAATCGTGCAAAAGCCTCGGGATCTCCAACAACAAAGAGCGGTTCCCCAGAGGCCAAGTCTTCTATGCTTCCAGATGCTGCGGCGGCCTCGAGCTCACCGAGGGCTGTAGCGTCTCCAAAGCCAACGCCCCCAGTGGCAAACGGACAAACTCCTAATGAAGGTGACGCAGCTCAAAAGGATAAACAACCTTGGGAATATGCCGATGAAACAATGGCAGGTCTTAAAACAGCTTTCCCTCTACTTGCCTTGACTATGGAGACTATGGTGGACCAGATACATAAGAATTTTAAATGCCCACCTGATGAAGATGCTTACAGACTTATCGTTGCTCTACTCAATGATGGCCTTGCATATGTGGGCCGTATGCCTACATCGTATGCACAAGACTGCAAACTTCCACATTCTACCGAAGCAAATATTACCCGTTTTGCAGAAACGATTCTTCCTGCACACATTCGAAAGTCGTTCGAGGCCGATTTTGTCACCAAGAAACCAACCATGTACGAGTACATCCATAAGCTGCGACGATGGAGGGACAAGTTTGAAGAGAAGCTGGACCGCCGGCCACAATATGCCCATTTGGAGTCGTTTTCGTCTCACCTTAGCGAATTCAAGTTCATGAAATTTGATGAAGTTGAAGTTCCTGGACAATATCTTGAACATAATGACAAGAACCAAAATTTTGTCCGCATTGATCGGTTCCTCCCCCACGTTGATCTAGTGCGTGGAATTGGGGTATGCCATCGTCGTTTGAGGATTCGTGGCCATGATGGCAGCCTACACACGTTTGCTGTCCAACATCCTGCAGCCCGCCACTGTCGTCGTGAGGAGAGAATGCTTCAGCTATTCCGAATCTTCAACTGTGTGTTAAGGAAGCGTAAGGAAAGCCGTCGACGCAACATTTACTTCCACCTTCCACTCATGGTTCCTTTTGCACCGCATATCCGCTTGGTTAAGGATGACCCATCCTATATCTCTTTGCAGGGTATATACGAAGACCACTGCCGCCAGACTGGAATGGCCAAAGATGAGCCGGTTCTGTTCACAATGGAGAAAATGCGAGCTCTGGCAGAAGCAAAAGCGAATGTAAGTGTACAAAATGTGGACAACCCAAATCCAACTTCAGCTAACTCTTTTCAGCGGGCCCCCGAGCAGGCTGGAATCCTTCGTACCGAGATTTTCGACGCTATCCAAAAGAAATGGGTCCCCAACACCATTCTTTTGCAGTATGTCCAGCAGACGTATCCAAACTTTGCCGACTTCTGGCTCTTCCGACGACAATTCTCATACCAGTATGCTGCGATAGCCTTCATGACTTACGTGATGCATATGGGCAACCGATACCCAAGCAAGATACATATCTCTCGGAGGACAGGCGATATTTGGAGCTCTGAGTTGATCCCAGCAATGAACTCTGCCAGGGCTATATTTTACAACCCAGAACAGGTTCCCTTCCGGTTAACTCCCAACATCCAAACGTTGATGGGACCGTTGACAACGGAAGGCATCTTCGCTTGTGCTATCATGGCTATCGCTCGCTGCCTCACTGAACCAAGGCTCGAATTGGAACAGCAGCTCAGCATATTTGTACGGGATGAGCTTGTGATGTGGGCAAGCGCGCAGCAGCGTGTTCTACAGCAGCTTAAGGATATGGTGCAGAGCAATATCGACTATATCGTGAACCGAGCAGCCAGCTTGACAAGTTCTCCAGACGGAAATCTTCCTGCAAACCAGTCGGTTATTGACCTCATTTCTCGGTCCGTCAATCCTCACAACCTTGCCCAGTGTGATGCTTTATGGATGGCATACGTGTAACCTTGTCTGACCGCTTCCATCCTCTTAAACCTTTTTCTCTTCGCCTATTGTATTATTGGTGATATGTGATTTCTGTTGTTATTCTCTTATTTATCTACATCTCTTGCATCTTGTGGGCTGTCTGATATGGCCTCGCTCATCGGCACTGCAAAGAAAGAAGGGTTAAGCATGGCGTTCTTCTGGAAGGAAAGGAGGCTATTCATGTTCTTACGTTTTGTTTTGAGTTTTGATACTGTGATGCTCTTGTATGATTTATTCCAACTGGCATTAGGCCAATTTTCTTCGTCGCAATAAAAAAAATATGTAGTTAATCAAGTTAATCAAGCTAATGAACGCTTCGCCAGAGTACCTTCATCACTAACGCCGAAGATCATGCATTTAAATATTAAACAAGGGGATCTTTCTTCTTTATACCCAATCCTGCAGAAAATGGCTTTTTTGCCTTCTTTACCCGCTTAAACGAGGGAGGAGGCATTTCAGTTGGAGTTGCGGTATCTTGATCAGCATCATCAACAAGCCGTTTAACTCGATTGCCGTCATCAGTCATAAATGCCCTTTTAGCTGCCTCTTCAATCTCCTTGTCCTCCCTAGCTTTCGCCTCTTCAGCTTCTGCCTTCGCCCTCTGCAAAGCCAACTCTTCTCCTCCTCCACGCTCCCCCCTCTCTATCCTTGCGTTTCTCGATCGTATTTCATCCAGAGCATCAGCTACCGCCATTTCCCGCTTAGAATCCTGCATCTTCTCCTCTAGCTCTAGCATTTTATCTCTCTCTTCTCGCTCGAGCTCCTCATTTTCTTCCCGTTCGAGACGATCTAGCGTTTCATCATGTGTTTCGCTCACTTCCTCGCTTTTCGCCTGACGCCACGGTTCAAAATTTCTTTTAGCTCCTCGTTCACAGACATAGTCCATGTTTTTAGGGTCCGTCTTAAATGTGATCTCGCTCGAGCATCGGGTACATCTGATATAGAACCGGTATATTGTAATGTTGAGGTACTTCTCATCAGTAGTTTCCTTCCGCGCATTAAACTTGCGGCCCTTGTATATATATTCACCACAATTAGTGCACTTTAAACTGAACGGCGCCATAAGGCGGACAGTCAGGAGCTTAGATCCTGACGCCCGTAGATGCTTGGGAGTTCGCGTGATGAGCGACGGATCAAAATCCGGTGGGTAGTACTTGGTAAGGACCTTTCGTTCAGACATTTTGGCGGCTGTAGATGTACAATATGAGTAGGTATTCGATGTGTATAGCTTTCTTGAGCGTCTGTTCTGGCGTTAATGAAATTCTGAGCTCGCGACTTTGATATCTTCGACGTTGAATCTGAAAAAGAATTATGGATAAGCCCAAGATTTCGATAATTCACGTGATTTTCTTTATCGGAAGCTTCTTATTGGACAGCTACTTTGAGAGGCTGAATTACATAAGCATCCAATGTTTTTTGCCCGTCGCGAATGTCAACAACAACACATTGGAAGCAAAGAGACATCAGAGGACGGCGAGGGATAGAAGGAATTGTTGTAGCGTCTTCGAAGCGAATGCGTGCATATAAGCGGGTGATTATTTTCTTGTGTTGAAAAGTGACCTCCCGAATACGCTTTCTTCTATTCCTGAAAAACGAACACTTAGCACCAGTGCAATGTCAACGAGCTCTCACCGGTGAACCGCAAACAACCATGGAGGAGTTTCTACGCAACTGGAGGCAAGACGCCTTGAATAAAGGGCAATACGATTCAGCGGTATATATTGGTGATAAAGTGCTTGCTTTAACCAGTACGCACAATAATTCTAAATACAGCTACCTGAGAGCCGCCGGGGCTAACTTCGAATAAAGACAGTGATAACGACGCATATTGGCTTGCTCAAGTGCACTTTTCAAATAACAACTACACTCGAGCCTTAGCGCTTCTATCCACGAAAGATCTCATCACTCGGAACTCATCATGTCGATACCTTGCTGCCCATTGCTATATCAAACAGAACAAATTCGATCTTGCGCTATCCATACTTGGGGAACACAACCCAACCCATCTGATTCAGAGTGCCAGCCGACGAAAAAAGCCGCACTTGAATGGCGGCTCCCATGTCACCCTTAGGAACGGACGCTCTATACCATCTCGCACGGATAAGAGCGATGCGGATGCGTACCAGGATGCCAACCATATTAAATATGAGGCCGCCATGTGTTATCTACGAGGGTGCTGCTTTGCAAATCAAAATGCTTTTGACCGCGCGAGAGACTGCTATAAGGATGCTGTACGGATTGATGTACAGTGCTTCGAGGCATTTGATCGGCTTATGAGAAACTCCCTTATGTCCCCAGCCGAAGAACTTGAGTTTTTAGAATCACTGGACTTCGACTCAATAACTCCGTCCTCAGATGTCTCCCTTTCTCAGGAAGCATCAGAATTCACGAAGTTGCTGTATACAACTAGGCTATCAAAATACTCGTCCTGTTCTGCATTGTCCCATGCCATAGAGACTCTCTCCACTCACTATAACCTCGCAGATAACTCAGACCTCCTCCTCTCTCGCGCAGAAACGCTCTACACTCAGTGTCGGTTTCCGGAAGCGCTTTCTTTAACCTCATCGATTCTCTCCGCTTCGGATTCAATGTCTGCATTAGTATCTCAGGGAAGTCAAAGTCAAAATCTTGGGCATTCCCCATCAGTCTACCCCCTCCATCTTGCCTGTCTTTACGAAACGGGCGCTACGAATGCTCTGTTTCTCCTCGCACATACTTTATCAGATAATGTTCCAGAGGAGCCTTATACCTACCTTGCCATTGGTGTTTACTATCTCTCAGTCTCGAAGATTGCTGAGGCCAGGCGATTCTTCTCCAAGTCTTCCCTCCTCGACCCTCACTCGGCGCCAGCTTGGATTGGATTTGCGCATACATTTGCTGCAGAGGGTGAGCATGACCAAGCTATTGCAGCCTATAGTACTGCTGCTAGACTATTCCAAGGGAGCCACTTACCCCAGCTCTTCCTAGGAATGCAGCATCTGGCATTGAATAATATGGCTCTAGCACATGAGTATCTGTCTGCTGCATATTCCATGTCTTCAGGATCCCCCTCAACTAGCAACACTCTCTCCTTAAGCGTCAATTCCGCTGGAGAACCCCCCATTCCCGGACCCTCTGGTGGAGACCCTCTAGTGCTTAATGAGCTTGGAGTCGTCTTATATCATGAAGCTAACCTGGAAGACGCTGTTCACCTCTTCCGGCAAGCTTTAGCATTATCTGTTTCCCTAGAATGTGACCCCAGTGCTTGGTTGGCAACCCGGGCAAATTTGGGTCATGCGCTTCGTCGACTAGGAAAATTGGAAGAAGCTTTGTCCGAGTTTGACGAATGCCTTCGTATAGGTGCTGGTGGTTCAACGACAATTTATACCGGTTATACAGGCAGGGCAGGGGCAGGTGCAGTCAGGTCTGCTGGTGCGTCCGCTGTGGGAGGTTACGAAGACAGAGGTCTAATAGGATCCTTCCACACAGCCCGTGGTATAATACTATTAGAAATGGATCGGACGACTGACGCTGTTACAGCATTGCATGAAGCTGTACGAGTACTAGGCACTACTGGTGGGGATGCAGCAGCTGGTGCTGGAGTTGCAGGTACTTTACTTTCAAAAGCTCTCGAAGTTTGGGCTGTCGAGGAAGAGACCAGAGTAGTGTCGTTCCAAGACACAAGTAAGGCACGCAAAGGAAAATATTCTTCTGCCAATTCCAATAATGAGAAATCAAGGCATAGGTCTACAGCCAAAGGAACCAAGAAATCGACGACTGTAGATGAATGGACAGATGATGTTCCTGACCGACCATCATCTAGCGGACCGGATGCCCAAAATATCGGCATGGAACTTGATGGAGACGCCAATGATTTACTTGAGCACGCCCTAGGTAAGGCGGGATACCGGATACCTCGTGTTATGCCCAGAAACCCTGAGTCTAGCACTGCTCACGAAGCGCGGCCTCGTTCTGACATACCAGAACCAAGTCGGCTCCGGTCGACAAGGACAACTCGAAGGCGAAGTCCTCAACGAGGCCCTGGTGGATGATATATTATGCCAGCCACTTCCTGACCATAGACTGATGCCGTTGGAGCATTACCAAAAAAGCATTTTTATGAATTGCTAAACTTATGAATATGAACTTACTGATGATTCATGGCGGTATATCCTGTCTCGCTACTTCAATATCGATCCCTGTCTACCATTAACAGCCCAGTTAACCTATCTGTTTCCTGATCACCACTAATTATGGGGCATTATTATAAGAACTTATAGAGAGGATGCAACAATATATTGGTCTGCATACCATATTCAGGCTCCAAATCCCGCTAATATAGAAAACCCTCCAAATACATGCGTTAGAGACAAGCCTGTGACTTCGTGGCCGGGCAGAGAAGATAAAAACAAGTATCAACGCCAAAGAACTCCAGGTTCCGTTGCGGGATAAATGAAAAACAGGATATGTATATCCGTCGCTCATGAATATAATGACGAGTGCAGTATGTTGCAAGTTGATATTGCACCGAGATAACCATAATAAAGAAGCTAACCTGAAAGATCACGGCCATAAGGGTGGATCTATGTACTCTGCTGCGCGGTCAACTAGGGTTGGGAAACTCCAATCTCCACTGGCAGAGCTCTCTGGGGTAGGAGGTGGAATTGAGCCAGATCTCGTAGAGGCAGCAACCGAGGCCCCTACACCTCCCGTGACGGGTTGAGTGTATATTGGAGCAGGATTGAAGCCGCTAACAGACCCAGTAATGACGCCATGCTGCCTGAGGTGTATCAACAATGCTGCATTTAACTTTTGAAGGGCACGTAGGGACTTGATTAGTGGCTTGGCCCATTGTGTTTCTGTGTCTGTGGGTATATCCGTAGCTTGTTTATTTGGCGCCATCGCGGCAGCGGGATCATAAGCACTCTCTAGAGATCCCATGTTTGATGAACTTGCGGCAAAAGTAGGGGAACTCTCAGCTCCCGCTTTCGGACTCATTGGTGAGATGTCGTCTTCTTTTGCACGTTCTGTAAGGACACCCTCTAATCGCCGGAGTAAAGTCCAGATATTTGGGTCGGTCTTGGATTCACCAACAACGGCCAGTAAAAAGGCGCTACTAATGGCCCGCTGAAGGCCGATCCATGATCGGGCAGCTTGGCGGTTCACTGAGTACATCTCAACGTACGCTTCTACCGTCCGCGATAGAGCAGCAATGCAATCTTTTCGTAGTGCAATAGTTGTAGCATCGTTGAGATCAGCATTTGGCCTTAGCGAGGGACGACAGATCTCTGATGTAAGGTACGAGGAGTGCAACTTTAGGCCCAGTCTCTCAATATTCTGGTTAGACGAGACGCAGCATAAAGGATCACGAAGATAGGGCGCTGTATCGGCCAATATTCGTTTGAGCTCCGTCCTGCATGTCTGTATGGTGGAAAACGGAACCTGCGAGCCTGTTGAAAGCATGCGACTTTTAACTATGTTTAAGGTTAAGGCTATAAGTTGGCAGATGGTTTCAAAGAAAGATCTCTTTCCAGGCTGCGAGTCTGGATGGTAGGGAATATCTGGGTGGCTAAATGCCATTGCAGATGGTCTGTCGTATGATAGCGAGAAGTGACTATCTTGCCACGCGGTTGCCCACCTATAAAGGTCCAATTAGCAAACCATCTTATATATGTACCAGCACTAAGCTCGAAGACCATATTCAACTTACCATACAACCCGTCTGGCATACTGCTGAGCGGGTGAGAATTTATGCGACTCAACTTGGAGGCCGAGAACCATGCCCATTCGATGGCTCATTCCTTAAGAAAGGTTAGTAAAAGTCTTACAGATTAATGCAACTGAACGAGAACACACATACCCAAAAGTATATATGACACCCCAGGGTTCATATTATATGAAAGGACATTCCCAATAATTAAGAGAGTCTGTATCGCATCCAAAGTTGGTCGTGATACGAAGTTTGTTGCTCGTAAAAATTGATAAGCACAGCAAACTAGGAGGGAATTTAGCAACTCAGCTTATCTAGCCGGAAAACACAACACCATACATACCATATACCTGAGAAGTCAATTCACGTTCCTTTCCTGGCATATCAGACGATTGGCAGCCTGCGGCTAGCACAGCGAATAGCAAGCCCACAAACGCTGTGGGCATACCAAAAGGCTTACTCAGCTCATCACCGTCATGTTCGCTAATCCCAAAAGCAGCCCTGTTCCGAAGACATAGCTCTAAGTTCTCCTCAAACCGATCAAGATCAGAAAGTACAGGGTAGATCAATGCCGCGATATCACGGTAGTACTTGAACAGTCTAGGTTACCTTTGTTAAACTTGGGTTTTCCCACGTATTAAACACGATCATTGCTTACCTGCGGCACTGTTTATCATCTGGAATAGCAGCACAAACAGACCTGATGTCGTATGTGGTTGAATCGGAGGACCAGAGGTCAATAAATGGATATGTAGCAGTCTCATTATCGAGACCTAACTTTGGAAGAATGCCTCCCTCCAATAATGCTTGAGTGGCTTCCTTGGGTGACCCTCCAAGCAGATAAGCAAGAACTGATCTAGATCCCAGATGAACAGTGCCCCCACCGTACACATTTTTTGCATGAATTCCTTCACGATCTGATAAGGGCTCGTCACGAGGGAGGCGGGCCTGTTCGCTAAGAGGCTCCGGTGACACCAATGCAGTACTGTCAACCTTTTCCATTTCCATTCGGAGCGAGGACATGGCGCGCTCCATCTCTTTCAGCTTTGAACAAACGCTCTCCCACTCAGCCCGTGATATCGATACTCTCTCCTGCTCAGCCGCCATACCATGCATTTCAACGTCTCCAACCGAGACATTTCCAGAGCCCTCAAGATTTTTCGACATGTCCTCGGAGTCGTGGGGAGGAGGGGTATTCACATGGCGCTTTTTGGAGGGGCGTTCATAGGAGCATAGATCTGCATGGTCTCGTTTTACACACCCGTCGCAAGGCAAGTTGCGATCGCATTTGACCTTTCGGGTATGGCACGGGTAGCATGCCTTCGGTTCGCGCACTTTTCTCTTCGTACGGATTATGGCGTCAATCTCGGACTGGGGGAGGTGGGAGACGGGCGTTGTTGAAGACATGGTTAAAGGAGCGTTCCTTCGGGGCGTCTGGGAGGGCTGAAAGTGGGTTCAATGCAACGGTTCTGGGCACGGAGCTCAGGGATTTAGCGACTAGAGCTGCTAGTACTACCGATTGGGCACAAACGCCATGGCGACGGGTGTTCGGGAACAATGATTATCTCTCCGCTGTCGCAGCTGGTCTGCAGCAAGAAACGTCGAGCCGTCAATTCCTCTCGCCGTCGATAAGTTGGATCCATAGATATGGCTTAGTCAGCAGCCTCACCCCGTCGGATAAAACGGACCGACGTAATTGCTTAGGTAAGCATACATCCATGTTTGATCTGCATGCAAAGAAAACGAACGAACGAACGCAGCAGCAATAAAACAACTGACGACGAAGACGATAACGACGGCAACGACGGCAATGACGGCAACATACATACAATATACAAGGACGATAAGGAGAAGGATGGACGAGGCGGCAGAGTATAGAATGCAGATGTTCGATGCAGCCGTATGATGTTGAATGGGCAGGTTGGATGACCACATGCCCAGTTATCATCCCTGGCCGCCGTGACAAGGCTTACCTGACGTCGGAAATTGGGCAACTCGGACGACAAAGGGCAGTTCCTGCAAGGAGAACTTTTCCAGAAGGTCCATGGAAACGATGAGGCAGCAATCCGTCAGCTGCCTCTAATTCCTGGGATCAATAGCCTGTTGTCTGGGCCAACTGCGGTGAGGAGCATCCCCCTGCTCAACGGTCAATTAATTCTCGCAGCAAACTAGTGGAATCCTGCACCATAGATGTTGGTCTTGTGCCCTTTCTCCTGCAGCGAGGAAACAGGGACACCGAACCAGCATTGTTCCTCGACCTGGCCGGAGTGGGCGGCAGCATGGGTATGGTGTTGCTGTGAAATTGATGAAAACAGTCCGAGGCTATAAGAAATCTATACTCCGTACCGCCTACACGGAGTATTCCGTATGCACCCGTATGAGAAGGCTCGTCTCCAACAAATATGAATCATCAGATCCAACTGCGGGCGCAGTCATGCAGTCTCCCAGTTAAGCGCTACGAGATGGATTCTTACAGGCCTGTTATTACTCCGTCTGCAGGGTCGACTACATTGATGCATCCTTGTAGTCGGAAAGGGTCTTCCAAAGCGCCCACCAAGGTCAATGGGCTCTTGTTACGCCCAGTACGGAGTATGGATGAACTCAATTCTACGGTTTCATTCCACGGGCGATAACTAATGGATCGTCTTGTGTCTCCAGAGAACTTGGTTGATTTTACCCATAACTACGGAGTACAAATGAGCCTTGATAAATTTTATTTTCTTTGGCGTAACTATCAACCTTTGAGCGCCCCATATAAGCCTCAGAGCCACAAGCCCCAAATGTCCACGGTTCCACCAACAAGGAGGCTGAGGTAAGCAGATAACTAAACTAATTGAGTTACCGTCAGCGAATAGCGAAGGGAGAATACTCATCATCAGCGGCCTCTGCACGACCTCATCCTTCAGGGCAGGAGATTTGCACCAGCATCGATTCGGTTCCCGCTAGACTGTGGATTGGCGTTGGTTATCTCTCCCTTGCTGCCTAGTGACACCCCTGCTTGCTCGTTGAGTCAACTCCTTTTCCGCCGGGCGTGGGGTTGGAGAGGGATAAACCGCAGGCGCACTAGTTAACTAGTTGAAGTGACTAATTCACTAGCTAGTGTCTGCTGCCTCAAGGCAACCACGAGGCTGAAAATAGCCTTGAGGAGCATTTTACACTCTTCACATTTCGCGGGAACACTAAGGGACTAAGCCATGCCAGTTCCACAATACTCGCTTGACGCTCCTGAGGCGTCGAGTTACGGTGAAGGTAAGACAAGAGATATTGCAAGAAAATAATTGTTATATTCTTTAATCAAATCGAATTTGTCTATAAGCTATGGTGAAAAGGAATAAATGAAATCCTCATGTAAGCAACCCAGCAATCCGTCGCTATGATATATAAGTATGTAGAAAATGAAAAACTCGTCGGTACAGGCAAG